ATGATTCCAACCTACGCTCCGGTTCACTTTTTAAAACTGGTATTGAATGCAACAATTTCCTGTTCTTAAATTAACATGACTGTCATTTATGGTAACAAATTGATGATGACCGGATGAGAATTTTGGCATAAATTAAACCAGATTGACAAAAATGAACGTGAAAAATATCATTACGAAACATAGAAGTTAAGACAAAATGGTGAGTTATGGAAATTTAAAAAATAAAACAAATACGCTACTGAAAAGGTTTTTGAAAATGTCTTCCTAAATTCCGATTTACTTCGCTTTTTAAAAAAATTTTCGTTGGTGTTCGTCACATTTAACGCACATCACATTACCGAAATTCCACCATTGATTTTCAAATAAGGTTGTGATTGAATTATAAATTTCTTTTGCAGCACCATGCCTCAGTGTTATGTGTCCCAAATAATTTGAATCAGGTGCAGCAAAAATTGAAACGTGCTCTTTAACTTCTTAACGATGATGAGAATCTCCTATTTTTTCATTTACAAAAGTGCTATCTATTTTGCCATCAAAATAAACAATTTGTATAATATTTCCAGCATTTTATGAGAAATATTTTCTGTTTAGTCCAGCACCCAGTAACTTTTTGCACAATTTTGAGGATTGGTAGAGCGTAGCCTAATTCTGTTTTTAAAACTATTTTAGCATTTTATGATCGACTTTAAACGTTTTCGGTTGTATTGCGTCAAAGAATTTCAAAATTAAGAACATAATAAGGATAGCGAAAATTTATCGTTAAACTGACATTTTTTTTCAAAATTTTGTCGATAAGTTTAACTCTAAAAGCGTAGTCTAATTTGATTTATTAAATTATTTCAGTAAACTATAAATGATTTTACAAACTCTGAGAAGTCTTGCATGAAGAAAATAGAAAAAATAATTTTTCTGGACGTCTATGGAAGTGCTTCGTAGATGATATTAATATTAACGTGTTAATATTTCTAAGAAACATTCTTGTAAGTATAAAACTTTCAGAACTTAAACACCGAAGTCTCCTAAACTTTTTGAAAAATATTTTAAACTATTGTAAAATTTAAAAAATTTATTTATGAATTTTTGTTTCAAGTGTTGTTTGCAGATATAAAACTAGGAAAAATTTTTAAACGCGAATCTGCAATTTTGACCACATAATAACAATTTGAACGCATTCATTGGACGAGTTATTTGTTATTATGCAGTTTATTCTTTCATGATGATCTGATTATTCTTCAGTCCATAGGGACCGGACGGTGTCATGTCTCATTCATTTTTCTGATAGATGAGCCACAATTTTTGAAGATTGCATTTTGCTTTTGATGGCTGTAGTTTTTTGTCCACCATTTTAAAACTTTGATTAAATTTTAGTTATTTTTACTCTTCAAAGAGATTTATGTCCAACTATTGAAAAAATATTCTTACATTCTTTAAGAGCGCGTGTTGTTTTGAAAAATATAATGGTAGCTGAAAAATTAATGTATGCAACTAACAACAGAATATCAATAATACGAATTTAACTTTGTCCTTCATGAATCTGTTGCCGTTTTGGTGCATTCCACCAAACAAGGCTAATGAAATGGTCGACATGAAATGCCATGTTTCTGTCAACGATGTACGGATGACGTTCGAATGGTAAATTTTGTTGAATGCTGTTTTAAAATTTCAGAAAATTCTTAAAATAATGAAACTCTTTCTGAATAATTTGATCTTATAGAGTAACATATATATTGATATGAATTATTGCGTTTGCTCGCATTTATATAAAATAGATTTGTGTCAATTAAAAATGCAATGAAAAATTGAAAATAATAGGTAAATAAGTTTAACATAATACAGTTATTTTAACATTTTTATCATTTAAAGATTAAAACATGAAAACAGAATTTTTTTTCATTTCTCCAAAACTAACCCACATCCTGAATCTTTAACTCAAAATTACATACATTAAGCTAATTTATTATAAAAGAATGGAAAATAATGATCGAATTTAACAGAATTGTTAACGATAATCAAATTTGTTAAAAGATAAATCGCAATCTTTCGTTGAAAAAATGTTAAAAAATAGAAACAAATGATCAAGCTACGACCTATCTACCAGAATCAATAAGACAAAAATGTTGATGAACTCGTCAGCTATCGACGACGACAAACTTGCCACTAATCTTCAACAGTCAATTCGTGTGTACAACAACAAAACAAAACAATCATACACGAGACGTTTCCAACTGCTGCAACAACACATTCGAACGAATACTTGCTGGTTCATTTACTTGCCATTATTTCATCAAGATTTAAAATGAATCATTTGTTCATACCTCATTGAACATTAGATATGAGAAATCGTTTCCACCTTGTAATCTACATAAAAATATGCTTTATAATATATATATATATATATATAATAAGAGAAAGTGTGTGTGTGTGTTTCTGTTACACGCCTGCATTTATACACATACAAGCATCCACATTTTTCAACCTCAAGGATCCCAGCACATGCACGCGTACGTACAACCTGTACATGTATGCTACATTAGACTCGTTGTTGAAAGGAAATAAGGAAATGTTTCATTCATTTTACTATATTTGCTATTTTGATCTGAAACTAATAAATTTTTATAATTAAATTAAAATACATATTTTCACATAAAATATACGTTACACAAAATTCATCTAATAAACTAATTCCCCCCAATTTGATGAACTTAATGAAACGTAGCGAAATAAATTTGAATGGATGGAAATTTATTTCTTCCAAATAAAATAAATTGATTAAGTGAATTAAATTGAATTAAATTTTTTTTTTTGAGAAATTTACATACAGTCACCAATTATTTTATTTAACGTGTTTGTGTGGGAAAGATTTGTTTTAAAATATAGATAACAACATGATTATTATTAACAAAAACCTGTTAAAAAATTAAATTTAATTGAATATTAATGCGGTTCTGAGAACATCGGATCAGAAATCTTTAAAATTCCGTCAATGAGATTTTCCGGGTAGAATTAAATGATGAAAGTTACTTCGTCATATATTATCATCAGGAGATGATAATATATGACGAAGTCTTATACAGGGAGTATAACAGTCAACATGGCATAAAAGATCAACCGACTTAATAATTTCGCATTTTGAGATTATGTCGAGATAACAAAATAATTATAGAAAAAAGTATCATTGGGTTGGATATTGAAACAAGTGAGCCAACGACACTTACCTTACAAGGCACACAGTCACACAAGCACACTTGATAGTAATTATGAGAGAATTTGTGGAACACTCCTCGCTGAATGCAGAGAATAAATGGCAAGCATCAATCAAACTTAATTACACGTAACAGAATGAATTTCATTAAGAACACTAGGTCGCAAGAAACTTCATCATTGTTGAGAATCTAAAAAAAACATGTTTTCTGTTGCCTTGGGTGGGTTTAAGATAAAAATTTTAAAATGTCTACTGCTGCCTTCTCTTTTTGTTATTCAGTAAGTATTACATAAGTTGGAGTGTGAAGTGCAGAGAAAAAAACGCTCTTTATGGAAGTTGAGCAGAAAAAAACCCACAACACCTTGAGTTCAGCTAAAGTCAGTTTTGAATTGCTAGGCAGCAGAGAAATTATTCTTTGACAAGTATTCTATTTTCTATCGTTAGTGCTCGTCCGCTTGTTTGAATGAATGAGTGTTTGTGTGGGAAAGATTTGTATTAAAATATAGATAACAACAAAGAGGTCTCCGTGAATTCCTTCGAAGGCTCTGGTATGACATGCGACACGTCCAATATATACTGTCTCATGATAACTAATACAGGAATGGTAGAAACACGGAGAAACATACTGCTGCTAATCAACTTTTTAAAAATAAGCACCAAAAACCAAACATTAAAAATGGAAGAGCATGCCGTTAAGAATTTAATATACTTTTCAACATAGTTTCGACATGCCATAAAGGAATGTTCAGCAAAAGCATGCTATCAAATAACGCTGTGAGAACAAAATGATTCTTCACCATGTTCCATTCTTACTCAAAAACACCTCTTCAGGCATATTTTTAATAAAAGGAATTTACAGAAACAAAAAAAAATTGGTATGTCCTTACAGGCATGAATAGCTAAATGTGTGTGAATTTATTCATATAAGTACAATCATAAGTAAATGCATCAATATTTTGATCTTAAATTTATTTCAAGCTTGTGACTCAATGGATGATAAGAAAGAGAGAGAGGACATTCAATCTGCATTCAATCAAATCTACCCATCACTTCATCAACCTGATCCTCCACCAGCCAACCAGACCAACTTTTTCATCTTGACAAGCGATGTTTATATTGACATCATGCAATTAAACGATGCGAAAACCGTATGAAATGTTTAATGGAAAAAATTAAACGAGATGGGAGGAGTGCGACTGGTCAGCTAATGAGAAGTGGCAGATGAAAATGTCTTGCTGCAGACGATAAACACACGGCATAAATAAAATAAGGTTGAAATTACGACTTATATTTTAAATACAATTAATTTGAAATTCTAAAATTAAAATCACTTGAGTTTATTTATATATTTATAAACATATAAATATTTATATTCAGCAGAACTAAGACTGCGATTGTAAATGGTGGATAATGGTATTTTTATTATATTTGCATTTTATTGATAGAATAATTTTAATTTTATAAGTAATGAAAACTGTTTTTAATGTTTTTGCTGTGTTCGCAATTTTCGAGAATAATTGTTGCAGTAGTATTATTATCGCTAATAACATTTATTATTAAATTTATTTGTAGTCGTGAAGTTAATAGCTCACATTCTGCATGTAAAGATTTTTTTGTTTGATTTTTCATGACAAATGATGAGCTTCATTTGTTGGAGTCATTTTGAAATGTTAGGGTGCCAACTGACGACTGCTCTGTTGATCAATAGTTCAATTGCTTTTTCGCTGACGTGTCATATCTCGATGGCATGTTATTTCTTGCACAGTGAAAAGTGAAAGCATGCGTGTATGTGACCTCACTAACAATCGTGCAACAGAAGAACAAATCTCAACATTTTCTCAAAACAGCTGAACCTCAGTCTCTTCATTACGTCAATAATCTTGAAGAAGTCTTCTGAGAGTTGGTCGTTCGTTATGATGCTTGGATGGAAGTTCCTACAATGTATCTTCATCAAAATTTGTCTGGCTCACAAATTTATTTCTATTCACGAGTTAAACACGTTCATATGCATGCACACATAGGCACTTAACAACTGCAAACACACGTATAAGTATGTATGCTTATATGTATGTAAGTCTCTCATTAAGTGGAATAGTCTACCAAGTTTGGAATAGTCTACCAAGTTTGGAATAGTCTACCAAGTTTGGAATAGTCTACCAAGTTTGGAATAGTCTACCAAGTTTGGAATAGTCTACCAAGTTTGGAATAGTCTACCAAGTTTGGAATAGTCTACCAAGTTTGGAATAGTCTACCAAGTTATCTAAGACAGCCCGAACTGACAGAAAAATCATTCAAGAAATTATTGAAATCATTTTTGTTTAGATTTGGTTTATTGTAGCAATTGAACTGTTTTTTTTTGTTTTTTTTAGACAGTGCTTTTGAAAAACATTTTGTTTGTAATTAGCGCTATACAAATTTTCGAATAATAATGATAATAATAATATGCTTGCTAACTAACCAGTCGGTCAATCAGCCCATAATTCAGTGAATTAATCAGCCAGCCTGTCAGCCAAAAGTCAGCCACCCGGTCAGTCGACCAAGCAGTCAACCAGTCATCTATCTAAAAATTAACTAATCAGTCAGCTAGAGAAGTTGATCAGTTAAACGGCTAACTGTCAGTAAGTAGAACACAACCTATCAAAATTATAACATGTTATTAACCTTATTCCGCTGACGTTGACGATGTCCAGTTTGATGGAATAAGTGAGATCGATGCGTGCTGGCATGGGAGGCATGTAGGTGACGATGGGCGCTTCTATTGAAGATTTCTTCCATTTGATGATGAACTGGAGATTGTCGTCCAGGTGTTGGTCGTCGTTAATGTTGGTGATGTCGCTGTGGTTGATGTTTGTGTGGCTGCTGTTGTTGCTCTTTGTGTGGTCGGTGGTTTGGTTATAGAAAATTTTTTTGAATGTCTCGAAGTCCTTAATATTTTTATTGGGATATGACTGGGAGTTGTAGTGATTGTAAATGTTGCTCCATATTTGTGTGTGGCTGTTGTTCATGTCGTCGTCATCGTCATCGTCATCTTCATCGTCGGCGTTTTCATCATTGTCGTTAGACTTTTCATCATCATCAACATCATCATCATCATCATCATCATCATCGTTTTCGTCATCACTATCATCAGCAGCAGCGGTACCATCATCATCACCGCCACCACGGACACCATCATTCATGGGAACATGCAGAACTGACTGGTGAGGCGCACACTTCAACTCTACCACGTCACCGACGTTCGCCGTAACCACACTCGCGTTTGACGTCATGTGGTTGTTGTGGTTGTGGTTGTTGTGGTCGTTGTTGTTGACGTTGTTGTGGTTGTTGAGATTGTTGTTGTTGATGTTGTTGTAGTTGAGGTAGTTGTTGTTATAATTGATGTTGTTGTTGAGGTTGTTGTAGTTGTTGTAGTTGATGTTGTTGTTGCTGAACTTGTTGTAGTTGATATTGTTGTAGTTGATGTTGTTGTCAACTTCGTTGTTTATGTTGTTGCTGATAAAACTGTTGCGGATGTTGGCGTTGTTGTTGACGTTGTTTTTATTGCCATTGTTGATAAAATTGTTAATGTTGTTGTAGCTGTTGATGTCATTGCTAATGTCATTGATGTGATTGCTATTAATATTTATTCTGCTATTGTAATTGTGGTTAATGTCGTTGATGTTATTTTTGTTGTTATTGTTGTTATGATCAATGTTGTTGTGATCATGGTCTTTGTTGATCTGGTCTTTGTGGATGTCGTTTGTTTTGTTGTTATTTGAGGATGATAATGATGATGACGACGACGACGATGATGACGATGGTGGTAATGATGCGGGCGAAGAGGAAGAAGAAGGTATTGATGATGACGAAATTGAGAAAGACGGCGGAGATAATGTTGACTTGAGAGATGTTGATTGGAAAGATGACGATGATGAATGAAAGGACCTGTCTATGTAGCTGCTCACTTGCTCGGAAGCAGGGTGCTGTACGTCTTCGATCACGTCTAGACAAGAATTTTAATTTAAACAATTTGTTCATTTAACGATTTGAAATTACGTTTTGAAAAAGAAAACATTTCAAAACAGTTCCACATGTTCAACAGTACGAAGCAAATACACCGAGAAGGACAACCAGTTTTTTTTTAAATAACCCGGTAACACAAATGAATTGAGTTACATATTGACGGAAGAAATCCATCAGGAGTGTTCATAATAGGGGACCATCAATAATTGAACACTCATATATCTCCCAGGAAACATGCTAGTATGTCGCGCAATAAGTTATGTGATATGAGTTATTCTATTGTCTGTGTGCGTGTGCGTGTATGTGCGTGTGTATGTGCGTGTGCGTATGTATGTGCGTGTGTATATATGTGTGTGTGCGTGCGTACCTACCAAAGGTAACAAACATTGTTTTGTTGCACTTTCTTGTATGAAATAAAATTTGTATGAGCCTGTGCTTGTGTGTGTGTGCGAACGATTGCAAAATATCCAATTGGCAGGATCTCTTTGTGTGTGCGAACGACTGCATTTGTTGACATTGTGAGGAGTGACGATTAAAGAGCCAACTGTTTATTAATTTATTGCAAAACCTCATTTAAAATTAAATTTGAGAAACTTGTTCAAATGAAATGATGTACAGTCTGGTGGAGCAGAGAAGATTTTTTAAACCACAACCGCCCGCTTTCGCACCGCATTCTCCGCTAAAAGGCAACCCAAATCGGCCGTCTTATTGTCATGTTTAAAATTAGAGGATAGCTGCTTGCTTGGCTTTATCAGCATGATGGACCCCAGAGAAACTTAGTTATGGTCATTAAATACACATACACACCTACATGTATGCAAACAAACGAAAAAAACAAAACTTTTTTTAAAAATTTTCGAAAATAAAAATTTACGTTTGAGGGCGGTTTTTTGGATAACGCACTTGAATCCGCATCCGCGACAAACCGCACAAACAAAATCCGCAAACCGCAAAATCCGCGAAGTTTTGAGAATTTTTTATCCGTGGTTTGAAACTGCATTGCGGTTATCCGCTTGGAGTTCTACAGCCTAGAAAAATGCAGAAATAGAACGAACGGTAGAACTTGTGAACTACATTGAAATGTTCGCTACTTCGAAGGCAAAGATTCTCAAGGACATGATTAAGCAGAGAAATTGTGCTTTCACTTGTATACATGATATTACGTGTTATAAGTTTGCTATGTTGATGTTCAAATATTGCGAATAAAGTGAGCAAAAATGTATTAACATTTTGATAAAAAAAAGACCATATTTATTAAGAATTGCTCAAAATAATATAAAAACGCGCAAGTGATAAACAACACAATTTTAGATTTTGAACAGTCAAAAATTGCTTTTTAAAACACGAAGCCGCAACATTCCAAGCACATTTTTCACTTCAATAAAAGTGAAACCATCAGAAATTTTCAAGGACAACAATAATTGAAAACTGAAAATAACTCACTGAAGCTGTAGAAACGTTTATGAGAAGCAGCATAACAACGTGTCAGATTTGCGTGGTCAACTAACCAAGAAAGGATTTATTCATATTATCCTCCAATTATTTTCCCAACGTAATTTCAAAATTTTTGAAGTGTAGTTAAAAAATTAAAAATACAAATACACAAAAGAACAACATCTAACTCGCAACATTTAACTTGCAACATTCAATTTGCAACATCTGACCTGCAACATCCAATTCGCAACATTCAACCTGCAACATCTAACTCGCAACATCCAACTCGCAACATTTAACTTGCAACATCTAACTCGCAACATCTGACTCGCAACATCTAACTTGCAACATTCAACCTGCAACATCTAACTCGCAACATCTTACTTGCAACATCTAACTTGCAACATCTAACTCGCAACATCTAACTCGCAACATCTAACTTGAAACATCTAACTTGCAACATCTAACTTGCATCCACTAATTCATAAGCTTAACAAGCAAAGTGTCATATGATATTATATCCTAAAAACTGTAGACTTAAATAATAAAAATACTTCTTCATTGAATGGCAGTTGATTATCCAGCTGTTGCATTTCTATTTAAAGCATCTGCACCACGTCTTGTGAAAATGTGTATGTTTCCATTGTGGCTTACAAGGCTGTTTCTCCGACTCGATGGAAAAGTGCTTAACCTTACAACAGCAACATTCTTTTTGACCTCAGACATCTGAGAACATATTGGTTTGAGGTTTTATTGTTAATTTATGTTTTTTTTTACAAAATTTTGTTCGCTTTCTAAACTAACATATGGGATAAAAATTTGTTGACACTACAATAAAAAATTTAAATACAAAAAAAAACAGAGAGCCTCACAGCAGATGATATCAGAGTAATTTCAAAAAAAAAATTTCAAAACAGACTGATCATTAAGAACTGAATCAGTTTCTCTGAGAAAAATGAATGTTCATTGCAATGAATGTAATCGTAATACGAGAAATGTCACATTTTATATTTTAGTAATCTTGCTCTGTTAACTTGTAAAACTTTATTTAAGAGTAAATCCCAAAAAATAATGTCAACATATAGTTAATATAATAAATTAGAAGGTAGGGCTGTTCATAGGGGAGCGCGTTGAAGCGATGCTCGCGAAATGATGCAAAACTTAACCAAGCATAAATTCAAATTATTTTTTTATAAGTGTGTTAAAGTATTTGAATAAATAATTTTTATTTCTCCCAGTAGCTATGCACTTAATCGTATTCAGAAATTTCTATCTTTTCAAAACGTTACCGCCGAACCACTTTTACATAAAAAAATGTTTGTGAATTTTTATGAGAGTTGATGCAAGTTTGCAAAAAATATTAAAAATGAATGATTTATCATATTGGCTGAGCAGATGATATTATCAGGTTACACAGCCCTACCTGACGAACAGAAAATGAACTGGCCGTGGTTGACTTAATTAAATAATCCATGAAATTTTCTAAATTTTTTTGAAATAAAATCGTCCATTGTTCAAATTAAAATTAAAACCACGCCGACCGCATCAAATGGTTCAACGGAATAATTTATTTTATTCATAAACCTCTTAAATGAGATTTTGATTCACCAAGCGTCAAACTATTTCAACTCAAAGTTTTTGAAAGAAATTGTAATAATTTTATTTTTTTCAGAAATTAAAGCGTTATTCATAATAATTGAACAAAATCTTAGTAAAAACGGTACACGCCTTCTTGAAAAGAAAGAACGAAAATATTCAATTGAATGGTTTAGATTAATTTCGGTTTTTCGAGATTTTCCAATCACAAGGTAAGAACGAGATGGGTCCGTCAGAGGCGAATTTTTCATGTTGTGTGCGTTCAGGCGGAAAATTACAAAATGATGTGGTGCAGTAATTGAAAATTTTCAATCTTACCCTCCAATGCAACAAAATGCGATGTATAACCACTGCTTAGTGCTTTTTAAATAATTTTCTGGCATCTCCATTTTTTGCACTCTCAAAAAACGGACTTAACAAATTTGAATGTTTCTGCTCCCTCGTTCATTTTTTACTTCTTCATTCATCATTTTCCACACCTCTGCTTGTGTTCGCTATAATTAACAAAATTTATATTCCATTAAATCGTTTGAAAAATAAGCTGAATAAACTTTTTTATGCTAATATTTATTGCTGAATTCTTCATTTTTATTCTTTAAAAAATATTGAAAGAAAAAAAATTTGAGATCAGTATAAACAGAGTTATAAATTTATTTCAAATGATGCCACAGTGAAATTATCAGTATAAAATTAAAAAGTACAATGGCTGCATAGGATATTGCAGATGCCGATGGAACTAGGTTAGCAAGATTCAAATGGATCTTCGACATTTTCAAATGAATCTTCCAAAAATTCATAACAAATGTTCAAATATAAAACTTGAAAGTTTAAAAATTTCAAATTATTTACTCAAGTTCTTTTGTTTGATATTTTGGCGTACGTGCAAGTGGATGACAAATGATGTCATGTTAAACGGGGGTTCAAGAATCAATTTGTTTTCATTGAAACAGTTTTGTATGATTAGGTAGGGCTTGTTTTGCAATAGAGAAAAATAAGACCATTTTGTTTATGTGGCTACGTGCTTTCATATGATGTGATGTGATGTAATGGGATGTAATGGGATGTGATGTAATATGATGTGATGTGATGTGATGTTCCCAAATCAAGAGCATGTCTTGGAAGAAGATGAAACTTGATGCGAGCTGGTGTAATGCGATACAATTTCTTCCATAGATGTGAAGTGATGTAATTAATGTCATCTACAGTGATGAGCTTTAATGTTGGGATCTGATGTTAGGCAGTTGTTAATTGTTAATAGTTATTGTTAATATAATTTAATTATTGTTAATTGTTTTTGTTAATATAATTTGAAAAATGAAGTCTTAAGCATGTCAAAGATGGTATTGTTTTTGTCTATAAATTTATTTCAGCTGTTTTCTTATTAACAGTGTTAATAAATTTTGTATATAAACATAACGAAGAGGCGGTCTTGAAGAAATGTTTGAACTGCTTAAAAATATTTGCTTCCAATATACGTTTAATGAACGTACATCATAAAACGAACGAGACTACATACGTTTATATACAAATGTTATTAAAATGTTTAAATATAAGATACAAAGAATAGTGGAGATAAATTAAATATAAATGTACAAATAATAAAAAAATATATATACGAGAAATTAATTAAATATAAATTTATGATCTGAGGACACAATATGTTTTAAGCTGTTTTAAGCATAATGCAATCGTTAATTTTTTTCAAATCGGTCGAGATGCTATTTCAAATCATGGGTGCATTATAAAGGATAAGCCGATTACTTATTAGATTTGAGATGCATTGACCCTTTAACATAGGCTGGTTAACCCGTTGATTTGTAAAAAAAATTCTATGGTTATTTTATATCATATTTCATATTGCGGAATGAATGTCATATCTAATGTTCAATAATTATAAAATCATAATACAACTTTTATTTCAAATTCTTATGATGTTAATTCAAAATATATTCAACAAACCATGGCTGTAAAAATAAATAAATAGCTAATTATATACTCATAATGTGTTTTAAAGTGTAGCTTGTTATCAATAATAATCCCAAGAATTTCAAAACATTCAGTTTTTCCAGTTCACAATTGCTTAATTTTAGTGAAATTTGTTAGTATTTTGGGGTATGTTTTTCTTACTATAAAATACATTTGGTTTTGTTAAATCGGTGTTACTTTGATTTGAAATGGATCACCATAAGTGGTTCAGCAGTTTGCAGCAGTACTAACATACTTCTGTCACCAGCGTTAAGGTGCTGTCATCTGCAAACGTACATAAATATTTTTGTGGAGTCATTACAAACATTCACAGTATAATTTGTGGATGAAATAAAAAGAAGAGGAACAATAATATATTCAAGATGGGTTTTACAACGGTTACCCTGTAGAATTATGCCAAGGGTAAAATAAACTATAATATAAATTTGATTTGGTTATAAGATTTAACCATGACAAATTCTAAATTATCTGTAATCACAACACCCAAAAACTTATTTATCACTTTTAAAAGAAATTTCTAAATTATTATTGATAACTTTAGGACAGAAAATCTAGTTATTCTTTTTTTAAAATTGATATTCAAATAATTCAATTTAAACCAAACAGTAAAATTTTCTTTTTCAAGTTTATTTTTTTAAATTTTATTTTTTCCAAGTTTAATTGATCAATTGTATTTAAATGAATGCTCGTGAAATTGAATCGTTTTAAATGATTTGGTTGAAAGTGGAACAAAAACTAGCCCGAAACATGCGCAAAGAACGCATCAATCAACTTGATTCATGTTGCGTGTGTTGGACTAAAAATTGAAATAATATTCTCCAAAAATGTTTTTCGTTACGATAAGCCAGGCTCTTTTTCTGTGTGCGCGTGTGCGTGAAGTATTTATATAATAACATTGCCTGTAATTCTATGTCCAAAAAATATGTAAAACATTGTTTTATGATACTCCTCTCTGCGTCAGCGTTTTGCTAATTCATTTGTATCAAACATTTTGTTAATTTTAAGTTGCATGATGAAATAAAGCAAACAGTTGTTGATTAAATTTATTTTTTTATCAGTTTCGCTTTAGAATTCGTCATTTTATATGTAAAAAATTAAATAAAAGGTCGCAATTGTGCAGTTTGGCGTACGAGTCCCGCCATGAATATTTGAAACGTCAGATTTTTTCACAGCAGTTCATGCAATTTTCGAGTTTTATTTATCTTTTCAGCTTCATATTTTTATGTTATCAAATCCCAACAGTAATTTTAAGTTTCTGATTTACACTTCTATTAAAGAAGATCTAAAAATTACAAACGATAGTACATTATATACAGGAGGAGTAGCCTATATCAGGTTTCTTAAAGTGGACGATAGCACCCCCTTAGGGACGCTAAAGTCATACTGGGGGAGATGTCAGGTTTGGACAAAATCTGAGAACTTTAGAAGTTTTATGTTTATGTATTGATCATTTTTGGTTGGGATTACAAAAACCAGATCTTTGAACCAGTTAAAATCTTTTCCCACGCTAACCTGGCAGGCAGGATCTGTGAGTGATAATTCATCGGAATGGTAAGGTAACACGGCAATGCATCGAGGCAGCTGAAAGTGCAAACAGAACTCTGGGTATGAAAAAAAAGGAGAGATATGATTGTCATATTAAACCTATACAAAGTTGGACTTAAGTTGGAGTAGTGTATTCAGCTTTGGAATCCAGATTTACATATGCTCAAAAATATTCATAGGAGGGCAACGAAAATGGTAAAGGAGTGTCGCGGTATGCCATATGAAGACAGATTAAAAGTTTTTGGATTGACAACATTGAAAAAAAGAACAAGAGGAAATTTGATACAGGCGTACAAAATCATCACTATGAAGGAGAATTTGGAATCAGCATACTTTTTGGAGCTTAAGATGAACAGCAAAACAAGAGGACATAAATATAACATCTTTTAAAAAGCTCAGGATCGATAAAGCGAAAATTTTTTAGCTGCAGAGTTGTCAACGAGTGGAACAAAATGGTAGATGAAATAATATGCGCAGAAACAACTAATAACTGTGAAGCAAACGTGGCAAAAGTTGGGTATTAAAAAGTCTCAGAGTGGTCCTGTAACAGACTTAGTCTTCTTTAATCACTATAAAAAAATCTTTGTTATAATATGCTATTTATTTGAAATAATTTCATGATATTTTCAAATTAGTTTTAAAATGTATACATTTTTTTGATTTTATTTTAACGAGACTAAATGAAGATTTTGTGCTATTAGTTGTTAAGAGAGAAAATTTTTAAATTAAATCTCGTAGCAGCGGGACTGAGTTTTTGCAACAACCCGTCTTTTAAACCACCACAGCATGTTGGTTCCTTTATTTCTGGAAATGATGCTTGTCTCTTCAAAAACTTTTTATTTCAACCAAGATTTTTTTATTTTAATTTGAAATTTCAAATTTGAAATGTGCCTTGTCATGTCACAACACTTCAAACTTTTATTTTGCGATTTTTTACGGATGCAACTTTGTGCTATTCAATTTTGAATGGTTTTTTACTTTCTTTTACTTCATTGCATCACAATGGTTTCATGTTAACATAATTTCATTAAATTTAATACAAAAAATTTTTTTACTGTAAAATTGTTTCAGCTAATTTGACACAATAGTACATTTTTATAATGAAATCAATTCAAATAAGTTATTTCCTGTCAAAAATGATTTAAAACCAGAGCATCGGGCGGGTCTGAACCGAAAAACAACGAATTAAATCAAATGTTATTTAGAACAAGATCTGGTCACCTGATGTTGATACGAATAAAATATTAATAAACGAACAAATATTAAACACCAGTTTTGGTAAAACAATATTTTTGTATAACAATATCAAAAATCAGGCAGGCTTCCACTTCCGCATGTTTTATAAAAGTTCATCGAGTACAGCGGCCATTTTTAAACATGCAAACGTCCGCTGTTTATAATCTTTTGTTTGTTTTGTATCTTGAATTATATTTTTATTAACGCCGAATGACAAATCAAAAAGAAAAAAATTATTATAAACAAGTGCTTTTGAAAAGACATTTTATTTTTATTTAATTTATTAACGTCTGAGATTTCGTGTTCATAAAATGATTAGCTGCTAATAGAAGAACACAAATATTAATTTTTTTCAAATTTCCCATTTGTTGTGAAAATTTTTTAATACACAATTATTTTAAGGTAGTTTAAAAATCATCCTACGTTACTGCAATAGACAAAGTATTAATTTATTAATCGTTGAAAAATTTACGCATAAAATTCCGCAATAAAAAATTCAATTGTTTCTCAGAATGAAAACCCGAACTAAATCCAAATGTTTGTTGTAATCGAAATGAAACCGAAGACCAGTTAACACCAAGTTATTAGTTATGTGTTCAGGCGTTTTGTTTCATATCTTCTAATAAGAGCCAATGACTGTTAACAATCTTTTCTTAATGAGACCGGTTTCTTGCAAAAAGTGAGGAGAGTGATTTTTACCAAAAAATTATTATTGAAATTTTTTTTATTAAATTTATTTAAACACTAATGAAATTCGATCATTCAAACCACAAAGCCGTGGAAAATTTCGGCCCTGTTATTTATTCGAGCAATATTACAGGCAATTAACAATTCACCAATTTCCACGTTCAACTTATTCTTCCATTGCTTCGTTCTTTTGTTCGTCTACTTCATTTTAAAAACAATCGTTCAACAGAAAATAAGTTAAAACAAGACAAACACCTTTAACGACAAGCACAAACAAACAAACAGAAATTAAACTACAATGAAAAGAGAATCTTGCCTGTTTGCATGATAAATGAACATGCTGTCGCAACATATCATTTTAGTAGTTGCCGAAAGCAGCTTCAAAAATGACAATAGTATAATTTTAGCACTAGGTTTTTACGAATAAGTCATAAATAAAGGATATTTCTTTAAAAATAAATGAACAGATAAAAAAATGTCATATGCAGTGTTCAAGTATCAGGATTGAAGAAAGAGTTGTTAAAAGAGAGCGATCATATAAAATGCTTTCTTGTGAATTGCGATATAACTTATCATAGGGCAATAAACAAAATCTCATTAGAATATGATAATTGAGACACGTCCTGAAACAGAAACACGGCTTTTATTCAAATGTAGCACTTTTATGGGCGGGTCCTCGCTTCATAAAATATCATTCTTGTGCCATGAATTATCATTGTTCGCGTTCGTTTGAAAGCAAACACCACAGCGTTGATGTGGCTTGCGTGGCTGCAAATAATGCTGCACATCCGTTGAATGCGTTGAATGTGTGGATAAATAAATTAGCTGCTTTTAATTAAAATATATTTAAAGAAATGATGGATGATGTGGTCAACTAATTTTCAGCAGAGAATCGCAACATAGTTTATAATTTTTTCACCTAAACGGTTCAATAAATATTTCGTCCAATATTCATTAATTTAAATAGTTAATCATCTCAATATCTAACATTTTAAAGGGTAAATAATTGTAGTACTTCACCTTGTTTCATAGGCTCGTAAAAAATTTCATGCTTGCATAACGTTCATTTCCAATCGTCATCAAAAATCCAATCAAACTGATGAAGTGTCGAAAAGAGCTAAGTAGCAAAACCATCTTAAACGGTGATATTTGTAATAGCTTGTTTCACAAATTGTTTTGATTGGAGCTGGTGGCATAATTACATTTTATTGATCGTGCAAAATCTAACGTTTTGACTGCAATTATTTCACACCTACCCTTCTTATATCATTCAAGCTGTAGCCATTCCATAGGAGAGCACGCGAGTTTTTATTTCCCCTGCTATCAAATGCAATTAAAAGACGTTATAAAACTAAAAAACTGTTAAACATTTTGAAACTTGTGAAACTAGTGACCACACTGGCCAGTGAGAAAGTTGTTTGCGTAGTAAGTGTAATTCTGAAACACCATCAAATGTTTGTTTGTTTGTCTGTTTAAACGAGTTACATTTGTTTATAATGAAAATAAAAATTGATGCATTTTATTTTGAATTTTTATTAATTTGTGTGTCGTGCCGAAATAATCTCAAATATAACTATTTTTAGTGAATAGAAGGAAAGGCGTTGGAATTGGATCGTTTTTTGTAATAAAAAAATTGGAATGTAAATATGTTGAAAATAAAAAGAAAAAATGACAATTTCCGTTTATTCATCTCATTCTAATTTTAATGTTTCAACCTAGTAAAGACAACCAACATAACTAATAATCCTTCAGAATGATATGCAGCATCGTCCAAGTGCAAACATCTCCTCTACTGGCATCGCATCCAATCTAATTAAATTGATCACATTCTCATATTTGTTGTATTGTCCATGTTAACGGCAGAGTTCGAGAAATGAAATTTCATCGGCCCGTCGTAGAATTTTATGTCATTCGTGGTACTTACATTCTTAGTGGTGCTGATATTTATGATGGCGATCGTGTTGTTGTTGTTGTTGCTGCTGTTGTTGTTGTTGTTGCTGCTCTGATGGTGGTTTTCGTGTTCTGACGGCGTTGGTAGCTTTGTTGTTGTTTGTTTGGTTTCGTTTGAAAATGTTCCCCATGAGTTGGTGCCGACATTTAAATGTTTTATTTTGATTACAGTATTGACAATAAGTTTATGTTTTGGTAAGAAATTAGATAAATAATATATGATTGTTTCATTTTTGTTTCTCAATCAAACAGTTTAAAGTTTTTGTTAAAATTTCAACTAGAAGATGAAAATGTTTTTAAAAAGTTGTTACGAAACCGATTGAAGATGATTCGCATAGGATCTGTGACTGATACAATTGCCTGTTTATTAAATAAACTAAATTAAAAGTGTTATTCAGAAAAAATTGAATGCAAAGATTTTCAACGTTTAAAATTTACATCTCAAAAATATGAAATGAGACTTTAATTATTTGACTAGAAGAATTCATGGAAACAGCTTATTGCTTAGCTTGGAAAAATGAGATTTGCCGGTAAACAGATCATTTCGGATCGTTTGTCGAGAATATTAAAAACATCGATTTTCTATCGAAATTAATTGAAAAAGCTCTCAATTTTTCATTTCTTCCCAAATTTTTTTTCTATTATCATGTTTATTGTGATATTAAACAGGTCTCGAACTTGGTGATGTGATGTCGTGCAGCCGCTCGGATCGATATTTAATGTTGAATTGAAATGTTATCTCAACGAACTCCACTGGGAATTTGCTCGAGAAATTTCTACTTTATCGACAAATTTTGGTTCATTTTAAAATTTTCAAAATTGAACACAAATTCTGGCCATTTTTACTAAGACACATTTACTTCACATTTTTCGTTATTTGAAAACATCATACATAAAATTAATCAATATTTTATTTTTTACGATAAATTATAGACCTTCGATTTATAATGTGTGTGTGCGTATGTATGTGTGTGTGTTTGTGTACGTGGGTGTGCGTGTATTTCTCACGTTTGTGTGTCTGTGTGACAAACTTAGTACATATATCTTGTGTGTTATAATCATAGGGCAGATATAGATATGCAGATATAGTGCAGTAAAATGCTGTCATTATGAACTAAACACAATCGCAAATAAAACTTCAGTGAAGTTAGGAGGGGATTCACTAGCTCTTTGCACCTGGGCCATGAGTGAGTGTACATTTGAGAGGGCAATCCAAAGGCCTTGTTTTTTAAAAAATATTCTAGAAGCGTATAACTTTTGTCCAAATTTGTTTCAATTATATACAATGATAAACATTTTATATTCAAGCGGTTACGACCACTTTATATAAAAATCCATAAATATTTTCAATGTCAGATTTGTAAAAAAAAATGTCAACAGATCAACAAAACAGAAATATGTGTTTTCACGTAAACTACCACTTGTGAATCCCCTATCTGAAAGAACTTTCCAGAACATCGCACCGTCCGACATGTCAACTTGATTGTCTACGGTGAAGTGAATTTGAAAAGCTGGTGAGGCAGGTTTAGTTCTTCTTGAGCGGCTTAGGCATAATTTGTTCGGTATGGCATCACCACAATCTGTTTCACCAGCAGCATTATTGTTCCTAATATTTTTCACAAATATTGACAAATAATATAAGTTGAAAATGTGTTGAAAATAATCAGTCTTGTTATCATTTAAACTTTTCAATGCTAATTAAAATTTCTGTCATGTGATACAATTTTTTCAAAGTAATCAAATTTTCATTTGTTTTTTAAGTTTATAGTTTTTGTTCCAGCAAAAATTTTTAATCTTTCAAGATGACAAGAATATTAAAATATTATGATTATTAAAAAACACTTAGTAAAAATTTTCCATAATTTTATAGATTACTAAATTATTAGATTTTGTCGCATTTCTTAGGAATTCGTTTTAAATTGATTTAAATTCAATTAAAGTAAACATTATGATGTCATGACGAATTTTAAAACGCAAACTTTTTGTTACCGATCATCACTTTCTTTATCGGGCGCATTTCCATATGATGATTTTGGCATTATTGTCAGGTGTAAAAATATATCGGGATTTACTGATCTCATCCGTTGAAAACGTTCTAGTATTTTGAAAATTTTTTTGAAATTTGTTAATTTATCATTATTTCTAGTCAGTCATAACCTTTTCCTCCCTGTTGAAATTATTATTTGAAAATATTTTTTGAATAAATTTACAAATATAATTGGCTGTAATTTGTCTACTTCGACGAAAACGAAGGCAGCATCGGTCTTTGCATTTTTATCGACCAATATCGCACTTTACTTTTAAAACAAATCGTAATTTTGAAAATATGACTGAGCTTGATGAGGCCATCAAACAAAAAGTTATGACGTCACATACGAATAATTACCGCCGGCGCAAGTTCCTAAATGGCTTCTTTTTGGGCATGCGCATGTCTCGCTCGTTTATTTCCGGTATGAAAAGAGCATTTTGGTTATAACAATAAAACTGTAATGAAACCCAAAAACAGAAAAAAATAAATTTTGAAAAATTATTTCTTGTTCTACCGTTTTGATTTTTCATTGACAGATTAATTACATTTACAAATCATTTTAGGCCAGTGTCATTACAATATTAATTCAATCAGACGTTAACAGAAATGTTTAGTTAATTATTGATAATCACCAACACATTGACTCTGAAATGATATTTTAAAAATATTTTCAAACCACGTTTCTTTAAAGGAAATGAAAAAAATTGCATCAACATCAACTTTCGTAATGAAATTATGTTACTAGTTTTATAACTAGAATGTTAATAATAAAAATCAGTTAGATAAACAATCATAAATTTTGAAATGTTATACAAACAAATGAATTTGACTGAAGAGCTTCTAGTCGAATTCTTCGTTGCTTGTATGTGAGAAGTAAGGTTAACGTTTAGTTGGGGAAAAATTTTAAACAATACAATCAGATTGACAGCGATGTGTACCCAAATGTTCAATCATTTAAAAAAACAATTTAGTGCATTCTTACTTTTCTTTAATTTTGCGAACGTCTTTTTAATTAAAAGACATAATAACATAAGGATGGAATTTGAACGCATTTTTTTAATTGTAACTAAAATAAGACGTTAAATATGTTTTTATTCAACTAACAAAGGTTTGGGCTATTAATAACTTTTTAATAAGGCTAATTATTTATGAAAGTTTTAAATTTATAAGTTTATATCAAGTGTTAGTAGCACTAATTTTGTATTTAAATTCTAAAAATATCTCAAGTCAGAATTTGAAAGAAATAGCTATCATAAAATTTGAACATTTATATTTTATTGTCTTATGTAGAAATGTTAACATTTTAATGTGAGCATAATTTGGCTGTAAAAAAAATCATAAAGGGAGGAGCGTTCATGAGATTAGAGTATAATATCTTATAGCCGGAGTATGATGAAGTTAAATGTTGTGAGCCATGTGAACCGGTGCATGGGAAGACAATTATATCAAAATTTGGAGACGAGTCCAAGGCAGAATTTTCAAGATTTGGTCTCAAAACTGTCAGGAGCTATGAAATAATGACGAGTTATTAACAAATTATTAAAATGGTTACAAAAAAATGAATTTAGTTGATGAATAAGTATAATAAAAAAAAATTATTATTATTCTCTTTAAAATATTCCTCAGAGGTCATGAATTAAATGCTTAAGTAAACCAGTCTTTATTTCCTGTTTGAATTTTTTACTAAAACAGTTTGTTTCAGACGCAGTGGCAAATCGTTCCAAATTTTGGGCAAAGCAACTTGCATTCATCTATCGCCCAACTTTTTTTTTGTTTGGATCATCTCTAGTTTTTAAAACTTGCAATTTTTACGTTAAAAATAAAAGGATAAGATAATGTTGAAAATTATGAAAATACCAATATTTTGATGTGATACTGATATGTCGTGTTGTATTCGTTATGCGTTACTGACTTCCTAGCTAGGAAATTTTCGTTGAAAAACATTTTGAACGTATGGGTTTAAGTACATATAAATAACACACAGTGGCAATAAATGTACTAGCAGCATACTTACAGAAAAACATGCACATATATTGTCTTATATATGAACATATGTTTGTGTGCATATGTTCTTCCTTTCCTGACATTTGAATTTCTTTATAAGCAGCATGCGTACCTGTCATCCCAGTTCGTCATGAGCAGTTCGTGTAGTGTCTTAACCTCGCATAAAATTATCCTCTAACTTTTTGAATGCTCAAAACTTGTCTAAAATAAATTCGTCTTTTTATTGCAGTTTAAGCTGTTAAGGTTCGTTATATGTACTTCTTGTTCTGGTTTTTATGTGGCCTAAGTGGCAGCTTTCGTACATACATTCGAGTGCGTATCTGTGTGTGTGTATGGGGTGTGCGTGTGTGTATGGGGTGTGCGTGTGTGTGAGTATGTGTGGGCATTGTGTGTGGTATGTGTGTGTTTCTATGTGTGAGGGTGGGTGTCTATATCAAACAATGTAAAATTGTCTGAATGTGCGTACACCAGTCTGTATTGTTGTGCAATATGCATGTGTCTATGTGCGAGTGTGTATAAAAAAGTTTATCTACATGTAAGCAATGTGTATAAATGTGTGGAGACATGTGTGTTATGCGTTTGAAATTGTGTATGTGTACGTTCGTGTGTGTGTGTGAGTGTGTGTGTGTGCGTGTGTGTGCGAGAGGGCTCCTCGTGTCAACGCGGCGGTTGTATATTTTCTATTTACGAGTCATAAAACCCAGATGAAAAGTTTGAAGAAAGCCTACGGTAAGGAAGTTGTTTGCGAAATTGCAAATGTTACGATAACTTGAATGTTAAGAGGATGACATCAAACATATGTTGAAATAACATTAATATTATCAAAGAAGTCATTCAAAACAGAAACAAAGCCATTTCATTGAAAGATCAAAAGTTCTTTACATTCAGATATCGGGCTTGCAGCAAACTAACAAATGTCATCAGTGGTAGGCGTTGATTGGCTACGATTCTTGAAATCAGAATAGGCAAAGTTTACCCTAAACATCTGTTGGATTTTGGTATAAAATAAATTTTGAAAAATCGACTTTCACTTTTAAAAAATTCAGCTCTTTGTGATTATTTTTTTAAATAATATCAATAAATAAATAAATTAATTAATTGAATTCATTTTGTCTTTTACGCTAGAACAAATTAAGAGATGAAGTATTTAAACTTTTCATTGCTTTGAACATGACATAGCACAGGTATATAACATAAAATATAACACACCAATGAACATAACATGCAACACAACTAGCAGGACGCATTTGTAACAGCAACATCGTAATATAACTCGGCGGCAAGACCTCGTGTATCCTGGTTGCTGAAGCGAGCTTGACGAAAGTATTATGTTATATTACCGGGGAATGTAATAGTTTGTCACGCCTCATAAAGTAAGTCATTGTTATTTGTAGCAACATCATTTTATGCTCTGCGAGGAAAACATAAAAAAAACTACCCTGCCACCACCAAAAGCAATCTACACATACCGACCGGACCATTCACACGCGCTCAACAAACAACAACTTTTCAAATTCGTTTATGGCTGAGAAAAATTTATGACGAACAACTTTGCTTTTTCGACATTTACTTATGTTTGGTCAAACTCTTTAACTCTGTTTCTATTTTTAGATTTTCAAGTTCTGCTTTAACTTATAAGGCTGTATTTACTGTTTGCTTTCAAATGAATAAGTTATACACTTTCAAAGAAAATTTTCCATTTGCAAAATGTTTAAAAAATTTTATTGAAACATACTTTGAAGTCGTTTATTAATTTTTTGCTCTAGGTGCCTGTCGTACTGTTAACGATATTTGCTTTTAAAAAATTGTCTGTCAGATGTTAAACTAAAGTCACTTGGTGAAATGAAAACAAAGATGAATTTCAGTTGATGTTTTATTGCGAATTTTAAAAAAGTTAAACTGATTCAAAAATTTAAATTCAAAGAAAGCATGCTTGCTAATCGAAAAGTTAGAAAAAAATCGCTTGATCAGTAATGATGGAAGGATGAACGCAGAAACATGGAGGCAGGTCTGAGGCAAGCAATGCAACATAATGCAAGTGTCCGCTACACATTGGAAAATATTAACTCTCTGTTAAATTGTTAATGAATATTTGCACGGAATCTTCTCAAGAAACATGACGACTGATGTTCAAATTCTGCTACATAAAAAACAAAATATTGTTTTCTGCTATAATTTTTTTTTAATTCTTTGTCAACTTGAAATTTTCTTTGATTGTTAATGCCATATATTTTATTTTTTCGTATTTTTTGTAACTTCAAACGTGTAGATTTAAATTAATTTGTTGAAAAAAATTAAATATTAATTGTAGTCGTGTACCTACGTAAAGCTACGAAAAGAAAGTAATATACTATCGGCATGACTTGTTGTTTGTTTTTTTTTCGTTGTTTGTTTGTTTGTTTAGCATTGACGTGTGCGCTTCACTGATCCACTGGTCTTTTATGCCTTGAAAAGCATGCGAGAATGCAAGCTTTTTAAATTTTTAATGCTGCCTCATAAATCTTCCGTAGAAATAACTTTTAAATATGAAGTACATCATGGAGAGAGGGGAAAAAAGAGAAAGAGAGTGAGAGAAAGAGAGAAGTGTATGATGGATGTGGAATAGATTGTTAACGAGGCTGTGTGAGTGCCATGCAAGTTGTCTGAGCTTTTGAACAGAATGTTCCGGGGCTTTACAACATGAAGATGATAATGACGACAATGATGATGGTGTTGATGATGATTAGTATTTAATGTAACTAGTAGTAGTAGTAGTAGTAGTAGTAGTTGTTGTTGTAGTAGTAGTAGTAGTAGTAGTAGTAGTAGTAGTAATAGTAGTAGTAGTTGTTGTTGTAGTTGCAACAGTAGTTGTTGCAGTTTTAGTGGTGGTAGTAGTAAAGGCGTAATGAGTGAGTGATGGTATTAAAAAAGTAACACAAGCATTAATTATTGAAGAAGCGTTGTTCATGATATTATGTGCAGTAGCCAGTAACTCTTTTAGGCCTGATGTATTTCTGTATTTCTTACATACGTAGATAGGTAGCACTGAAACCATTCATGTCTGACAACCGTATTTTTAAAAATTTGGTGCAAGTCTGCATAACTACGTTGCATTGGTCTCATTTTTCAACGACGTTTTCTTTTATGGTGAGTGAGAACGTGGGTCCGTGGATGGGTCCGTGGGTGGATCCGTTGGTCTAGTAGGCAACTTTATCAAAAAACAGCTGCAACCTAGTTGGAGAGCAAGAAACATCAACGTAATCAGTAATTTTTTAAACGAAATGTTGAATTTTTAATGGAATTTTTAAATTAACGCTCTGCAACAGAACCTGAAGACAACTGCTATGAAACAAAAAAAGTTTGTCGCTGCTACCATCTGAATCGAAGATGACGTCATGAAATTATGATTCAGGCATCA